TCCACGAAAGACTCTGCTCTCTGCCTTCTAAGTAATATACACGGAGACAGAATCGGATGGCATGGGGGAGAGAGGAATACAGAGAAAGAGAGGAGTTGGTAACTTAACAAAAAGGGACCTTTCCTAAACTACGAGGATTCCTAATTTAATTATAATGAGCGTTCTTTTGAACTCAACAAACAACCAGGCATCTCTGCAGTACTGTGCTTCCTATTCATTTAATTCAACCTCAAGACAATAACCAAAATTACCCCTACATTGTCAGTAGCTTTAATAATAAGAGTCAGTAACTTTCTAAACAAAAAGTCCTATGAACCTGGTTTCCTCAAAGGCTTACAGTGTAATGACAGGCCAGTGCTGTTCGGTGGAAAGCAATTTCTCGGTGTTGCACACAGCCCTGCTCGGAAGGCTGGGCACGCTTCCATAGCAATCAGCACGGACAGAGAGGCTGCCTTTCCTTTCTCGTGGGAAGCCACAGTTATGGAAAAGCTGCTGCTGCACAGAGCTGCAAAGCTGAGAGGACTTCTCTTATCTGACCAGCACCAGGGCCAGGCAAGGACCGAGGCCTTCCTCCGAGAGGCTGAGCTCCAGTAAGCGAGAAGGAGGTATGAATACTGACAGAGGGCATGTCCGACATTCAGAGGGGACAGAAAGCAGTTGAATTTGTCACCACGAGAAACACGTCATGAAATGATCCAAGGTCAGTGGGCCTATATGAAAAGTCCCATGCTGTCCTCCTAAAAACTGTTCAATTTCTGCAGAGACCAGATGTCAGAATCAAGGCTAGTTTTTTACAACAGTTTTTTACCTACTCGCTGGCAATCTGAGCTTGAATGCTTTGCTGAAGCGTTTACCAGGGATCAAAATCACAAACACAGCCTCACTCCCTGTGCCATACGTAGGTCCAATCCCTCCGGCCTGCAGATGCCCTTTGTGGGTGGTAAAGGACAAATGGCATTAAAGCCTATTATTTGGCTTTTCGTGTAAGAAGGCTTAATGTGTCAGCTGCATTTTAATCTAAGGATTATACCCTTATACTCAGAAAATACCTTTTAGAAACATCAAAAGGGATCTTTTCTTAAGGATTTGTATTTTTTTATAGCAAAGCCCAATTATTTATAAATTCATTGGTATTTTATATCTGAAGTGAAAGTGTTTAACAAAGAAGAGGCAGCTGCCGCAGAGTTAACAAGAAAGCCACAATCTCTGCTGAGGCCACCTAAATATATTTCATGCCTTGAAAACAAGGCACGGCAGCTAAGGCTGGCCACTGCAGGCCTGTGCTGACCCGATGCCCGTGCTACAAACCCTGCCCAGGTTACTTTTTAAGATTTCTACACTGACTTCCGGGTAAGACGGTAGGTAAACACTCATACTTAGTTCCTCTCCCGCCTAAAATCCCAATATAACAATTACTTCTCTTTAACAGCATAAGTCCAAAAAGCCAAAGGTAAGAGGAGAGATTCAAGTTTTAAACTTTTTGAAGCTGGCAATCAAATAGATGATGACAACTGAGAGAAGCTCATCTTCCCATTTGTGAAGTCCTATTCTTTTTTTTCTTTCTTTTTTTATTGACTTTAGAGAGGAAGGGAGAGGGAGAGAAACATCAATGATGAGAGAGAATCATTGGTTGGCTGCCTTCTGCAAGCCCACAATGGGGATCAAGCCCGCATCCTGGGCATGTGCCATGACCAGGAATCAAACCAGGACCTCCTGGTTCATAGGCCGAGGCTCAACCACTGAGCCACGCCGGCCAGACTGAAATCCCATTCTTAAACATGAACAGGATCATCAGACACATAAAGTATCTAACAGAAAGAGAAGAACAAACAGTAAAAATATATACTTTTTTAAATGGCAACTTACCAAGTCAGAAATTGTGGGGGTGGGGAGAATAAGGGAGGGTGGACAACAGAGAATGAGAGGCCTTGTGGAATTACTATGTAACCCTTTAAAAATCAAGCTTACAGCCCTAGCTGGTTTGGCTCAGTGGACAGAGGGCCAGCCTGCAGAATGAAGGGTCCTGGGCTCTATTCCAGTCAAGGGCACATACCCAAGTTGCAGGCTCAGTCCCCAGTATGGGGTGTGCAGGAGGCAGTTGATCAATGATTCTTTCATCATTGATGTCTCTCTCTCTCTCTCTCTCTCTCTCTCTCTCTCTCTCTCTCTCTCTCTCTCTCTCTTTCTCTCTTCCCTCCTCTCTGAAATCAATAAAAGTATTTTTAAAAATCAAGCTTATATAACCTCAATAAAAACTAAAAGAGATGAGAGTTACATCTACACTTAGTATTTCATTAGTTCCCCACCTGACACTTACAAAACACTTTCATATGAGTCTAATCACTTAACTTTTACTAAACTGCAAGTTAGGTTACCCCTTTTCACAGATACGGAAACCACCTCCGGAAATTATGAAACTTGATCAGAGTGGCACAGAACAACCATGTGGCAGAGGCAAGACTAGGAAGAGTACAGGTGTGTTTGCGATGTACAATATAGTTAATATTGTGATGTGCGTGGGAGTCTGGAGGGGGATGAGCCAAATCAAATTTTGGGGTTCCGTGGTTCTCAACCTTGAGTGTGCGTAAGAATCACATGGAATTCCACTCAGATGCGGTATCTAAAGCAGTCAAATTCATAGAAGCAGAAAATAGACTTGTGGGTATCAGGGCAGGGGAGTGCCGGGAAGGAAGAGTTAGTTGTGCTTTGCTGGGTATAGAGTTTCAGATTTGCTAGATGAAAACATCAGTTTCACAGCAATGTACCCCATTTCCCCGAAAATAAGACAGTGTCTTATATTAATTTTTCTCCCAAAGTTGTGCTAAGTCTTATTTTCAGGGGATGTCTTATCTTTCCATGTGCTAGGTCATATTTTTGGAGGATGTCTTATTTTCGGGGAAACATGGTACATACATTTAACCTTACCGAACTGTAAACTCAAAAACGATGAAGATGGTAAATTTAATGTTATGTGTTTTTTACAAGTCAAAAGACTCACCTAGAGGCTTGTTAAAATACTGATTGCTAGCCTGGCCTGCGTGGCTGAGTGGTTGAGCATTGACCTATGAACCAGGAGGTCATAGCTTGATTCCCCCTCAGGGCACATGCCAGGGTTATGGGCTCGATCCCCAATAGGGGGCATGCAGGAGGCAGCCAATCAATGATTCCCTCTCATCATTGATGCTTCTCTCTTTCTCCCTTCCTCTCTGAAATCAATAAAAAAGTATTTTAAAAAAACAAAACAAAACACTGATTGCTAGACCTCACCCACAGTTTCAGTTCAGTATGTCTTGGTGTGACCTAAGAATTTCTACTTCTAACAAGTTACCAAATAATGCTGCTGCTCGAGTTCTCAATCCTAAACGCAGCACCTTTACCTGAGTCCCCAGACCAAGTAAATAAGACTACAAGGAAAGGAGGCTGGAGGGGGGAGGGGGGGGTGTTACCTAAACATTAAGTGCTTTTATTTTTTTTAAGTATGTTTTTATTTATTTATTTATTTTTAGAGAGAGAGGAAAGGAGAGGGATAGAGAGTTAGAAACATTGATGAGAAAGGAACATTATCGACTGGCTGCCTCCTTTATGCTCCCTACTGGGGATTGAGCCTGCAACCCAGACATGTGCCCTAACCGGGAATGGAGCCAGTGACCTCTTGGTTGACATGGAGTGCTATGAAAGCCCTTGGAATAATTCCCAATACACAGGCAGTTTGAGAACCCCTGGCCGGTACACTAGCTCACACAGATTGACGGTGCACTATATGCCTGTTTGTTTCATCATCTACAAAATGATGGTCACAGAGTTGCTAAAAATATGAAATAGGATAATCAACAAAAGAACACAGGGTAATGCTCATCACACAGTGATAGTAATGCTATCACTTTTGTTGCTGACATTACAGAGAATAAGGTTGATCCTGTTTTTCTAGCTAATAAAATGGGGTCAGGTTAAAGACAATGAAGAAACTATTACTATTCAATCCCAGACTAATGAGCAGGGCCAAAAGCTCCCAAAGAGCTAAAAATAAAGTAAGTGGGATTAAATCTAAGAACCTATTACAATTCCCACAAGCATTTTGCAAAATCAACAGTCATTTCGGCAGAATTAGTAGCTAATCCCTTTCCTCTATGAATAGGTGTTGTTATTTAGAATATAAATATCATTGTAAAACCAAGTGTCGGAATCAAGTCTCAAGACACCATCACCTTCACCTAAAGAAGTAATATAAGGCGTTGTGTTCAGATGCAGAAGGTAATGTAAGACTCAGAGCAGAAATCCTGAAGACATCTTCATGGTAAATAACTTCAGACAGGTCTCTTCATTCAAGAAATAACTGAGTGCCTCCTACATGCCCGGCACAGAGGCAGCGTGGGAGGACACGTCATTCATTGCAGGGCAGAGTTTTTCATGCAGTAAAGCGAGTGGGTCTGGTGATGAAGCAAGCTTTGGGAACACTGAATAGCCCGTTTTCCCTCAAAATCACTGCAGGAAAGCCAAAATCGTGGTTTCTGCTAAGTTTTTCCTTTTGTGCATAGCTACATATTTGGGAGGTGTATCCTAGGTTACCCACACTCAGTGATACTCTAAGTTTCCAGTGCCCTGAGTCCACAGCAAGTACAAAGAAATCATTGTCTTTGTCTTCAGAAAGAAACCAGCATGACCCTCGTACATGTCTGGGTCACACCAAAGCCTGAGTCTCCAGGGCAAGCCTTCCCTACTAAGTCACTCGAATAACTTCCCCACAAAACACTCTTAACACTGTGGGGAAATACTTGTAATGAGGAACATGGGGTTCATTTCTAAATAGGACAGGCTAAATGCGTTGGAAGTAGTATTCTGGGGCAGTCCAAGCCTCTCCGCCAGAAGGTAAGTCCGCACACCAAACTGATAGGTTCAATCTGCCTCCCGACCACCAAAGTCCTAGATTCCTCCACAGCTCAGAGCACTGGACCTGATTAAACAATCAGCAAACACGTCCCTAGTGAATGCCAACCCTACACATGGCTGACTGTCCAAGCACGTACCCACCAGGTGGAACAACACCATGTGAACTTCTTCGAAGTAATATTGCCTACGTGTACCTGGAGGCCCGGTGTACATGGGAGGATGAAGATCCATTTGCAAGTAGAAGATGTAAGTGACGCTGCCCTCTGTACACTTGGGGATTCCAAACAGCAGGCCTATCTGTAGGAGTGTTTTCCTCTCTCCTTCTTCGAATTATTATGAAGCTGAACCCACAATCATTACACAAGACAAGTGTGGGGCCAGGGAGGAAGCCAGGAGACCTGAATGCTATTGGCTCCCAGAGCCATGTGAATCTGGACTTCAGCATCCTCGCCTGTGAATGGCAGGGCTGTTTTAAAGATTAACAATAATAACAAGGGACAGAGAGACTAAACATGCATCAGGCACGAAGTGCCCTACAAATAGCCACTAATTTAATCCTTCCAGAGCCTTGTAAGGTAGACGGAGACCTTTGTCCCCATCTCTCAGTTGAGGGAACTGGGGCACAGAGACATTAACCTGTCAAAATCTTATGTGGCTCCTAATTGAACCTATGTGGTCTGACCCAGGACCCATGTTCTTAATCACTTCTTTATCCTGACTAACCTGATGCTTCTTTCAGATCACACAAAATAATACACCTGAAAATGCTTTGCAAACCACAAAGATACCATTTATGTATGTATTTATTTATTTATTTATTATTGAAGTTTGCCTTATTATTAGTATTAGTATTACTATTATTATTATTAAAGTTTGCCTCCCAGCACCCACCAACCCTCCTGGTAACTTCCCTGATTTACTCCTGGAGGGATTCATCCACCACTGTCATCAGTCAATGCTTCATCCTCGGCTGAAGAGGTTCAACCTTGGGCTGTAGGTAGGGGTGAACAAATGCCCTGGGCACTCCCGTCAGAACAAGCCCATGTCCCTGGCCCCAGTGACTGGCCCGATGCTCTAGGCACGAGGCCAGGAATGTAATCTGTACAGCTCCTTGGATAATCACTATAATGATATCAGCCTGAAGCTGCTGGAGGTCTTGATTCGTAGCCCAAGAACATGCAGCCAAGATGAATCCTCATGACATCATTGGATCCCCAGTCAAGCCCTTCCTCAAGCCAGATCCATTTCTAGACTTTCAATTACCTAAGCCAATGCTTTTTTCTCCCCCCACTTAGAATAGTTTGAAATTGGGCTTTCTGTCACTTGCAAGCAAAAGAATCACCCTAGTACCCATTTTAAATATGTTTTATTCTATCAAGCTATATTCATCTGTATTTTCTGTCCTTTGTTCCATTCCTCTAAAATAAAATATTCCTGGGGCTGGAGTTCTTGACTAACGTACTCCATATTAGGTAAAACACAAAATTCAGTTTTTCTAATGCCACAGATCAAATGATTTGACCTACTATAAACTTTGCTTAAAAAATGTATTTATTTTTTTAATCTTCACCCAAGAATATGTTTTTATTGATTTTTGAGAGAGAGGAAGGGAGAGGGACAGAAACATGGATTGGTTGCCTTCCCTACACACACCCAACTAGGAGTCAAAACCCACAACCTGGGTATGTGCCCTGACTAGGAATCAAACCCATGACCTTTTATTGTGTGGGAGGCACTCCAATCAACTGAGCCACACCAGCTGGGGCTCAAAAAGCCTTATTTTTAACCAAAGCAGTTAGGTCTGCAGTTTCCAGTTTTGTAAGGAAAGCAACTGTAACATTTATTTTCACTCAGTCTTTTTCGTTTTCCACTTTCATTTAATCCTAAATGCAAACCACTATAAAAATCATTAAATGAAGAACAGAATTAACTTTTAAAGTATCTAAACACAAGCAGTAAGTATCACTTCTTCCTCATAAAGAGGAACTAAGCCTTAACTTTACTCAATAATTTTGGAAACAAAACAAACCAGTATGCAGTTTTAACCACGTCCATGAAACTATTTATTGCACTAAATGACATTCCTTACTCTGTAGGGACTTCAGACCAATCCTCACAAGCGCCTCAGATTTCAGAGGAAAGCACTACTGCTCACCCCGATACTGCCTCCAACTGTGGCGAGTGGAATCCATTTGATGTCTGTCAGATGGCTCCTAAGGCAATGTGGAAACATTACCAGGACCTCATGCATTTTCACATCTTCAAATTATTACACACAGCCAAATAACCCAGCTGGGCCAACTGTGTTTCCTTTTATCTGTCCGAAGACAGTACAGGGTGGTGAAGGGGCAATCCTTAGCCTGTGTCCATCCATTAGACATATCTGAGCATATATGAAAATGCTGAGTTAACATGATGTTTTAGACTAGTAGTTCTATGTTCATTGAAATGCCTTCATTAGGCTCCTATTAAGAAGACAAACTTTTATGACCTCAAGTAAGCAAACAGATAAGAACACCAACAAAGACACATTTGTTCTACTACATTCAAAACTTTTTTACTTTGCATGCTGTTCTTTCTGTTGAGCTTTCTTATTATATTGAAAGTGGCCTAAGATGGGGGTCTGTTGTCTTGCTTTGATAAGCACTTCAAAGCTCACAGCCCTATGCAGACATGCTAGCTCCCAAACATTCCGGTGTTACTACATGTAAACAAGGAGGACCTTCAAACACAAAGTCATTTCTATGTATCCCATACTACATAAGTGAAATAACCATTGGATTATGTAAAATAAGAATTAATCCTATTTCTAAAATTAATAAATACAGCCAATATATTAGCTTAAAATTGAAGATTTGGTAATTCCATTCATATTATACATCTGTTTTGATTCATAAAAAGCACAATCCCAGAATGGAACTTCAAGTTCATAGGAGCTTCTTCTAAAGTCCTCAGGGGCAAGAATCATATCTGCTATCACTATTTTGTGCCTGACATGTAATAGACTCTATACATATTTGTTGAATAGTAAATGAACAAATAAAGGTATTAACACTAAAATGAATGGGATCAGACTATTTTATGACTACAAAAATTACTATGTCCTTGCTTTTATGAAGTAAAGCAGGACTTGGCAAACTTTTTTGTAAAGGGCCAGATGGTAAATATTTTAGTTGTTGTGGATTACTATTGTAACTACTCAACCCTGACCTCTTTTGAAACTAAACAATTCAGCTGTTATGACACAAAAGTGGATACAGATAACATATAAACAAGTGAGCATGAATGTGTTTGATTAAAACTTTATTTATAAAATTATCCATAATCCATAAAAACATTTAAATCCCTGCCAAAACCGGTTTGGCTCAGTGGTAGAGCTTCGGTCTGCAGACTGTAAGGTCCCGGGTTCGATTCCGGTCAAGGGCATGTACCTTGTTTGCGGGCACATCCCCGGTAGGGGGTGTGCAAGAGGCAGCTGGTCAATGTTTCTCTCTCATTGACGTTTCTAGCTCTCTATCTCTCTCCCTTCCTCTCTGTAAAAAATCAATAAGATATATATATTTTTTAAAAACAAAAACAAAAAAAACATTCAAATCCCTAGGGAAACACTTTCTTACAATGAACACTATTCCCTAAAGACTGGAAATTGGTTAACTTGCTAAATTCAGCCAGACATGTTTCGTTGGGTCAAAAAGTGGGTAAAGCATATATTATATACTCATTCTCTATAGTGCCCACCACTCCTTACTAAACAACCTGCATGTTACAAGCCTGGCCCATGCAAGCCTTTGAATTTACTTCCTGAATTCTATAGTACAAGTGGTTTCCTGGGATGTGGCCCATATCCTTTCCTGTGAAACTATAACCACAACACAGGCTCCTCAAAGCCCACAACTTTGCCTTCATCAAACACAGGGGTGGGGAACATCCGGCCCATGCGCCTTTATCATTTGGTTTGGCCCTGCCAAGGCATTAGGGGTGAGTTAATTAAATGTTTGACCAAACATAGCAGGCTAATTTTTAAGTTGACAATTTTGTGTGGCCTGAGGATGATGCTATAAAATATACAAATGGCCCTATCTAACAGCTAATACCAACACTTAAGGACTTTAATTATCCACTGATTGCCATTATTTGGTGTGTTCTGCCCCGTTTCCTCAAAGGGGCTGTATAAGAGTGAAAAGGACAGAGAAGGGCATGGAGAAAACAGGTGCCAGCAGGAACATGGCAGAGTCCCAGGGAAAGCAGCAGTCATTACAGCACTGAAAAACCACACCCATCTCCCAACTGTGTCTCAACCTTCTCTGCCACCTGGCTTCCTCCTTCACATCACAGCAGAGCTGGGCAGAGGGAGGACAACCATGGCCACCTCCACTGTAACCATAATGAGGATAAAACCTTGTTTATCCTCCATTCCTGCCAGAGGATGCTCTGGGTGTGTGAACACAAAAAAATTACCTGCACCTAACAGAATTAATACACTATTGTATTTCCCCTATGATAGAATGCTCAAGAGCAATAAAAATAACCATTCTATAGCTATTGTATATGCAACCAAGTGGAGGAATCTCTTCAATATATTGTTGAATGAGAAAAGCCAAACACAAAAAGAACAATTTGCATATTTATCACAAAGAGAGAGAAAGAGAAGGAGAGAAATAGCAGAATGAATTAATGCTCCTAGAAGTCTAGAGGAGCTACCCATGGAGTGGGGTGTCTAGAGGAAGCATGTTTCTTAATCTGAGTGCTGGTTACATGGGTGAGTTCAGTTTGTAAAATTATATTGAGCTGCACACTTACAATATGTGTATTTTGTGTGTGTGTGTGTGTGTGTTCTATTGGAACAGACAGTAAAAATCATCACCCCATATCTAAGTGGTCCAGGGCCAGAGAGCCAGCCGAAGGGCCCCACGTCCTTCCCCTTGACCATGTCCTTCAAGCCTTCTGCTTCACGGGAGCCCCTCTCAACTCCTCCTTGTCTTTTCCAAGTATAACCAGAGAGGCCAAAGGGCAAAACAGCACAGGAGATCATTCTGAGATGCCTGCAATTACAGTTACAGTCCTTCAGAATGGCAGTGTCTTTTGAAGGAACTTTACTACTGTCGTTACCTCTGTCTTCTAAATGAGACAAGATACTATAAGAAGTCTCTGCTGCCGTAAATGGCTCGTTTAAATGGACTTCTTTTAAAATGATGTCCTAAATGGGCAGGTCTAGTTTATAAACATCTATGAAGGAATGCTTAGATGCACAGGGAACCACTTAGAGGAAGATGCCATAAATAAAATGTAGCAGAGATTAGAAGGCAGGACAGCTGACAGCCTTCCTGTAAGAACCTCAGAGCTGTACTGACTGACTGTGTGATGGACCATAATGGATAATGGATAATAATCTACAATTATAATCATAGCTGAACACATCTTTAGGATTTTATGTAAAGTCTCAATGCAGGGAGTCAAATTATAGGCTAAGAATCATTTTTTAATCACTCTAATGTTGATTTTAATATAACCACTCATATTCTTTATACATTCTCCTAATAATTTCAGGTTAAAAAATCAATTAAGACCTTTGATCACCTTAGATCACAGAGACTGTATATGCTGATCAGAAAGAAGCAGGAGTGGTAATCAACAACTGACCCAACAACAGACGTCACCACAGCGGGCAGACGGGCAGATCATAGGGAGGGAAGAAAGCACAGTTATCCCCTCCTGGACAGGCCCACGTGGTAGAAATTCACTCCTCCATGTTCAGATGTTTTTCAGAACCAACAAACTCATACTGCATATCTGTCTGTTAATAAGCCACTGTTTAAAGCCTTTTTTAAAATCTGACTTTATTTATATCAGCTATTACATCTTTTAACAGGAAATTATAACTTCCCTTATATGTCACACGGTTTATAAATGTTCTAAAATGGCTCTCAGGGAAGAATATCCTTATTTTCAAGAGTCTCATTCTCAAGAATTTATGATAATGTGTCATGATGGCTGTAATATGCACGTTTCACAGAAACACACACACACACACACACACACACACACACGGCAAAATGCCAACAACTGTTAAATGTAGGTAGTGGATACATAAGAATTCCTGCACATTCTTTTAACTCTTCAGGATGTCTGAAAGTTTTTATAATAAGAAGTTGCATAGAAACATCTACTCACCTTTCAAGAGGAGGCCGTCTTCTTTTTCCTAATCAAAAATGACCGATAACTACGCCCCAGAGCACACTCAGGGGTCGTTCATGCTGCCCTCATCCTGCAAGAATAAGCAAAACAACTTGTTATCACCAAAGATTTGAATATTAATGCTACTTCACCTGAGAACATATTTTCAATATAATGGCAAGTCTCTAGGTTAAAGCACTGCTGCAGCTACTTGTTTTTAGCAAGGAAAAAAGCAAAAAGAGAAAAGAATGACCCCATCACATATTGAATGTAGGGAACAACTGTAAACTTCACCCATCCTGCAAATGCCTGGAACAAAGGAATTCCTCAGTGAGCTTCTCTGATTTCGCATCGATTTTAGGGCAGTGACGTAGTCCGAACTCCATTCAAACAAAAACTGGAGCTTCAATACCTGAGTTTTGCTCTGGATTTCTGAGACCACACCTAGCAGGCATCGAGGATGCTCTCAGAACCACACCAGAACCGCTGATCCCCTGGAGTCCTTTCAGGCAAAGCTATTTGGGCCCAATCTACTACTGCATCAGCTAGGGACCATGCTATGGGCACAGTGGTAGTGACCTGCAAGTCATAGTCCTGCTGCCACACCTTACATTTCAGCATTATCTCCTACAACGCCCTCCCCTCCCTCACCCCCCACTCACACAGCCCTGTGAGGTAAGTAAAATTTACTGATTCCATTTTCCAGAGGCGGTGGCTAAGTGTCAGAGAAGATGTATAATAATAACAATCAACTAGAAAATATCAGAAATGAAATTTCAACTTCTGACCCTAAGCTCACCATACAGGTCATCCCTACCCCTTCTCACTCCCCCTCAACACCATGCTCTCCTAAAAGCCAGCTTCCAAGCAAAATGGCCAACCATCACATCCACCTGCCAGTGGGGGATGGAGATGACAGTTTGTCCCCTGACAGTATATATAAATAATCATTCTTAACAGGGTCCTTAGTACTATAATTTATGATTATCAATTACTACAATTACTATTAGTAATTTAGTTTCCTTTTAAACACAATAACCCTATTTTTTACATTACACAACACACACACACACACACACACACACACACACACACACACACCTTTCCCCCTCTTTTCTCAAGAAAGCACACTGTTGGCCAATCGGAGTAAAACCAGCATCACATGGCACCCTTGGTGATTTTTATCTTTGCCACAACAAAAGGCAGTAACTTGCCGTTTAAATTTTTGTAAAAGGCAAAATACAGTTTATATATAGTTTGCAGTAGCAGCAGAAGCAGGGCTGCCAGCAGACAGGGGACAGGGACTGTGGCAGGAGGACTCAGGTGGGGCATGGAGGATGGGCCAAGACCCACCTCTGTGCCCACTGCAGCCTCACCGCCCACAGTTTCTTTCAAGGTGCACGAATTCCTGCACTGGGCCCCTAGTATAATATTGTATAATGGCACAGACACTGCTCCACTAATAAAGATGAAAGCAGCACTAAAAGAACTACAGCTGGAGAAGGTAATATCCCTATGTGATGGCCTAACGTGGCCTTTCATCTGTTGGTCACCAAAACTCTGCACACACAGAGGTTTAGAGGTGTCAATGTCTAACCTCCACCTGTGAAGGCGCTGGCCCACGTGAGCCTGAGGGAAGCTGGCCAGGGAACCCCACACCTGGCTTGCAGGCCTGTCTCTTCCATCCTCTGTGTGAGTAAAACTCCAGAACCTCTGCAAGCACCTCCTGGCCTGGGGGCTGGAACACCTGCTCACAAGGACACTGAGACCCACAAAGGAGATAAGATGTGGCTCCATGACTCACAGACCCAGTCCTCTGACCCCAGGAAACTCACCAAGAAGTTTTGCCAGGAGCTACACAAAACCAAGGGAGAAACATGATATACCTTTGGAAACATCAACTGTACTCAAAGTTCTGGTGATGATAAGGAAATGAACCAGTACTTTAAAAGTTGTTAATAGTAAAACAAATATGCCTTTGGAGTAGAATGTCACTTGGCATGCATTTTTAACTAAAACTCCTTACATTCCTAATTCATTTCTGGCCATACCCTTTCATGTGGGGGGAGGGGATGAGGATGGACTCTCTCCTTTATCATTAAAGGTGGTCTTGGGAGAAAGCGTGAAGTTGGTAGGGATTTTATATCACAGTGAGCCCAGAAGGCTACCAATGGCCCTTGTGAGCCACATGTGGCTCTTTGGCCCCTTGAGTTTGGCATTTCCGCAAAATAACAGGGCCTGGGCAAGTCTATTTTGAAGAAGTGGTGTTAGAAGTTTCAGTTTAAAAATTTGACTCTCAAAAGAAATTTCAATTGTTGTACTATTGATATTTGGCTCCGTTTGCCGACCACTGGTCTAAAGAATTCTCTTCAAAATCAGGAATCCCAGATTTCTGCGAGATCTAGGTCAGGCAGACTGAAGGAGAGGCACACATATATATAGTCCCCTCTCTACACCACACATCCTGGTGTAGGTATTCCAGAAGTTCCTTTCTTCACTGCCCTTCCCACCAGCTTCCCAGCCCCACCACACTCCTGCCCTCAGTTATCCAGTTTACATCACTGACTTTCTTCAACCCCATTCTGACTGCTGACACATTCAGCACTAATGCAATTTTCATTTACATGCATGCTGCATCATTACTAAAGAAAAATAAGCTTACCAGTTTAGTTTGCCTCTAAATACTTTTTATTGTAAAATATATTAAAAAGCGCATAACTGTGGTAGCCAGCCCCCCAGGGGGTCCCCAATGATCCCGACTCCAATATTCATGCTCTTGTGTGGACTCCTCCCAAAATGAATAATAGGCTGGCTTGACTAGCCAGTAGGATGCTGGGGAAATGATGGAGTGTGACTCAAAGGCTTGGCTGAAAGAGCAGCTTCCCCCTCTATCTTGGGAGGAAAGCTGGCTGCCATTTCCTGCATTCTCAAATGCTCTAAAGACAAGCCCATGTGCTGAGGAACTGAGCCTCCTGCAAGAGCCAATGGAGGTAGCCTTCTTAGAAGCACAACCTCCAGCCCAGCCGAGCCTTCAGAGGATGGCTGCTTCAGCTATCTGGAGGGCAACGCCATTGGAGACCCCAAATTATAACCACCAGCTAAGCTGCTCCAGACTTTCTGACCCACAGAAACTGTGTGAGATCATAAATGTAACCATGTTTTAAACTGCTGGTTATATATATAATACAACATATCAGGTTAAAGAACAATAAAATATACCCCATGTATCTAATACCCAGTTGATATTGCAGGGGTTCAGGTTGTTTGTTTGTTTGGCTGTTTTTTAGAAGACCTATGTGCCCCTTTCTGATCACCTTTCTCTCTACACCCCTAGCCCCGCCTCCCTGCACAGATAACCACCAGCCTGAATTCTGAGTTAATTATTCCTTTGTCCTGGTCTGTAATTTTACCGCATATATATTCTCAATACACGGTTGCATTATAAATGAAACAGACTATACATATTCTTCTAAGACTTGCCTCTAAAGAGTTTGAGATTCATTCCTGTTGACTCCTGTGGCTGTAGATTTCTCACCACTATCTAGTTCTCACTGTATGAACATATCCGCAATTTACTGCTCTGTTCTACTGCGGAGGATCATCTGGGAAGTTTTCAATTTTTTGCTGTATGCATAAGGCTGTCATTTACATTCTAGTGCTCCTAGCCAGCAAGTTCCTCCAAAGGCACAAACCAAGGAGAGGGGAGCTGGGCTTGGGATTGAACGCTCAACTCTCCTGAGGAGTGTCCAACAGTCTTCCAAAGGGATTGTGTACAACTGACTCTTAAGCCGCCTTTCTAGTCTGTCTCCAAATAAGAGGCGTGTCTGTTTTGCTAATTACCAGTAAAGCTTTCAATCAACAAAGGGAAAGCTTTTCCTATTTGCAGCATCATTGCTGCAAATAAATAGTACTCCAGAGCAGTGACCCAGACAGCTGGAACAGATTAGTCACAGGACATCAGCACAGACTTCAGAATAAAGATGCAGACCCGGCCAGCACCACACTCTGCCCACAGGGACAAGTCAAATTGGTTTTCTAGACTGATGTTAAATTCAGACTGCTTTCCTCCCAATGGATTCACAGCCATGGTCCCATCTTATCATTGTTATCTCGGAGGGGGGAAATTAACTCGCATGCAACCCGGCCAAACTAAGATTAAAGCAAGAAAGTCAAATTACTTCAATGAAATTGTGTGTGAGAGCTGGTTATGTTTTTTATGTTTTCATCTATAAGATGAGATTTTTATTTACTTATCTAATTTTATGTGTAGTAATTCTACACAAAAAAGTATGTGTTCTCACCGAAACTGGTTTGGCTCAGTATATAGAGCATCAGCCTGTGGACTGAGGGGTCCTAGGTATGATTCCGGTCAAGGGCATGTACCTTGGTTGTGGGCACAACCCCAGCATGGGGGTGTGCAGGAGGCAGCTGATTGATTTTTCTAACTCTCTCTCTCTCCCTTCCTCTCTGTAAAAACTCAATAAAATGTATTTTTTTAAAGAATTTTTTTAAAAGTATGTGTTCTCTACACAAATAGGTGTTCTTTTATATTTAGTTCATTCCATTTCTTAAGTGGCAAAAGTAATATTTATGATAATGTATCTGTATTTCAAGTAAAAATAAAATCAAACATATATGGCATTAAATACAAAAAAATATTTCAATTGGAACAGGAAGGAGAGAAGAAATATTATTGTAAATTTCAAGGAGGTTCATATCATGTCGCAGAAAAAAAAATGGCACTAGATGACCACAATGAAGTCATTTCAACTCAACCTCTTGACGGTTCTTATTTGTCTCTCTACAATCATTTATCCCTATCAGACAGGAACTATTATTACACCCTTTTTCCAGGTGGAGGAAACTAAGGCACAAAAAGCAATTTAGTGTACACAATCACACAGCTGGTAAGTGGTAGAACAAGCAATTGAACCCAGGAGGCTTATTTTAGAATCCACATTCTTCAACACTCTTCTAGGCAGCTTTGTCAGCCCACCCCCCAAACCCCCACCCCCCGCCAAGAGCAGCCAGAGCCCCTGAAATGGTAGCTACCAAGCACTAAGCACCTACAACATGCGAAGCACTTTTAAG